AGTAATTGCGCTTTACTGATCCCACCTTATCTTTAAACGGAAGCAATATATAGACACTATGACTTTTACCATAATTCTAGAAAAGTAGTAAGTGCTATTTCTGTCAAACCTGACACTACAATTGGCTAGAAGATTAGTATAATAGTGCATTAAACGTAAAAATAAACTTAACTTTCTAAGACTATGCTTTTCAAAATGAGTCTACATATTAAATTACAATTTCTTGATATTCAAAAATTACCGAAAATATATCGTCCAAGTATCAGCAATGAATTTTTCTCATTGATGAACTTGAATAATAAGAGTATGAGCTGAACATATTAAATAGTTCTTGCTTTCTGTAAGCAAGAACCCGAAAGGGAAGCGGCGAGTTGGTCGTCAGTGCAAGGGTGACTTGGAGGAGGTCATGTGAAGAGGAGATGAAAGCATGTGGGCAGACTTAGAGCGGGGTGAAAAAGTTGGCAGAAAACCGAAGGCAATGGAGACGCGCAGCTGAAGCCCTATGTATATAATCATATAATAATTATTCTGTAAGCAAAATATTGAATTTCTTTTGGTAGACTAAACGATTTTTTGTACTCTGTTACCCGATGAACTTTCCCTTTAGGAAGATAAGTATGAGGTTTATTGGGAAAAAATTGTGTTTCTGAACCTGTTAACATTAATGTCGCACTCGGTAAACTTTAATTCATTTTGCTTTTGTTTTAGTTCTTGTACAACTTGATGAAATGTTCATTTATTCTTAATTGGTTATTTATTATCGCTATTAAGTAATTATATACAGTGATAACAAGTTATATATTGCGCAAGTGTCGACAGAAATGTAGGTATGTAAAATATAAAGCTACTTATAACCACTTCTTTACCTTGCAATGGATGATAATATAAAAATGTCAGCTGGTATAAATTACTTGAGGTTCACCATTGATATAAACCTTTACATTAGTAGAGAACACTTTTTACCCGTATTATAATTGTTTTCCCCTCAGGCAAATTAATGTTTTAACAGGTAGGTTATATCAATTTTATAAATAAACTATCTTTGCCATAACCCAAGCAAATTTTTATTTGTTTAATGAAAGTTGTTAAGAATAAATGGGGGTGAGGCATTCATTTATTTAGCGCAGTACATCTTGAAAATGTTCTTATTCCCACATGTGTTTCATATTTTTTTATTAAGAACGTTTTTCATCAAGTATTATGCTTTTATTGGTGCTATATAATCGGTGGTAGATGCTGTCACGTTCACACTTCTTGGAATAATACTAATGTAGGCTGTCTTCTGAAATATATTGCATTAAAGTGCATTTTCACAAAGCTTAACCAAAAATAATAGGCAATTAATCAGTCACGGTGGATGAGATTAAAACCATTTGATGGTTTAGCGACAGTTTTTATTTAAACAATGGAAGTCTTTCTCTTAGCTGACAGATTTGCATAAAAATTGATCAGTGCTAAACCATCTCAATATTCACCGATACTTAGAACTGTTGATGAGCTAGACAGCAGTACTTCATCCAGAGTATTCATTTATAACAAATTTTCTTCAAAAAGAAGATTAATTTTACCAACACAACATCTGTCATTTTAGCGACAGATTAATTTTGACAATATATCTACTTATTATTAATATAGTCGTTTAAAACGACTGCATATTTGAAAACTGCTGTAAAATATTCTTAATTAGCAAAACTACTGCTCCAAGTGAAAATAATTTGCTACACCTTTTTATTACCATAATAAAATAGGTGTTTCACACAAAAGTCTGAAAATCCATGAATTATAAGTAAATAAAAATTTGACGTATCAGAAGGATCTAGTATGCAATCAAACGAAGCATTTTCAACATAAATAAGGTCAGAGAATGCTGATTAATGCTAGCTAATGAATGTCCTATTACAGTGTCATTTTTACACTGATGAAAAACAATTAGACTTACGTTATCACACTTTCCTAAGGATTTCTTTATTGTGCGACAATATATATATATATATATATATATGAAGTAATCTACCAATGTTTAACTGGACCATGCAAATATTAAAGGATATCTTCGGAATTTATAATCTGAATAACTGAATCCTCTGTTGACGTAAATGAAAGATATTTGACGAAGCTGACTGAAAAATTGCTTCTTGTTTATGCTATATAGTGATACACTGTTATTTGATGAATAAAATTTTGAATAAATCACATCGTTTGTCTTCAAAGAATCTATGTTTAAAAATTTCAAATTTTAACGAAGTCCTTTTTTGGATAAGTAACACCCCAGTCAACAGTTATCGTACTAATAAACAAGAAAAATTTTTCTAATCACATAATTTAAGATTGCTGCATGTCATTGAGCTATTTGTACGGAGATTACGGTTAATTTAGACGTGTGATCTATTTCTGATCAACTGGTTGTTAACAGACAAACGGTCCCCAATAGGTCATCATTCAACCTCTGTTCGCGTTCTGATTTTCCAGTTCCAAAATGAACAGAAACATTTATGGGGTTGAACAATTCAGAAATGTGTTCCTTTAAACATTCAATATTTGCTAGCACTTTCAAGGGAACCAGTGTCAGTTAGTCGCCTAATTGTACATAGACCTCCCTAAGTTCCACCTATTCAGCCTATGTTGTTTCTCTAACTCGTAGTCTATTTGAAAAATATTTAAGTTACAAATAGCTACTGTAGGCCAACAACAATAAACAATTCTCAGAAATCGTCAAGACTAGTGAAGTTTGATATATTATTCTGTTTAGTTAACTTTTGTGAAAGTCAAAGTAATAATTATTTTCACTCTCATTGCGTATATTAAAACGTCGGTATTCAGATAAATAAAACTTTTCAACAGCCTTTATCGATGACAGTTTTGTGAAAACAGTGGGTGAAACTAATCTGAAGTTAAAGTTTTAACAAGAATATCCTAAAAGTCCGCATATTTACATGAATAATTCACTTTCAGCATCTATATATATTATGAAGAAATTAAGTGTATCATAATTATCCTTTTTATATAGAACAACTGTGAGTTGTGGTTTATAATGCGTAGTAGACTACCAACATCCTTTGAATCAAATTTCCGAATTTATCAGGATAAATTCACCTCGTTTATAGATAAGACGGAATATCTTTCGGTGCATTTTAGTGTTACAAAATAAATTATTTAACCTAAGAGAATAAGTGAGTGAAAATTATCCTGTCATGATGAAAGCTAAATCACTATGCAAAACATTTCTTATTGAGAATATTTTTTTGTTTTAAATAGGCTTGTTTTACTTAATTAACAAATCCCAAGTGGTAGTGGAGATTATATCATTCCAGTGACCATCAAGTGATGAACAATTTTATTATTTATTTCAGCCACTAAAGCGATTAATCTATATACTATTGCCCAAGTTGTGTGATGTTCGCTTTCACTGATCAGTAAACCAACTTTAAAAGGTACACAGTTGGCAAACAGGCTTGATCTAATGTTGAGTATTAAAAGTGATTCTGACAGACTGACTATGTCTAGAAGGAAAATAATGCAAAATCAAGTATCTGTTAATGGTGATAAATTCTATATTAATTAGTAAGTAGGTTTGTTTATGTGCATCAATTGTTTAACGGTGCAATAGTTCATTGGGGATCAATTCCTGGGTAACTCACTTCTTAACGTCTCCCAGATTAAGCAACCATAAGACTGAAAAAAGAAGGTTGGGCATGAAGCTAAAAACCTCATTTAGTAAAAAATAACTCAACTTCCACCAAAATTTCCGAAAATTTGAAGTCTTATGTCCCACTAGGAACGCAAAATAGATTGACTTGGATTCTGGAAGTGGGAGCAACATATCTGGGAGTATTTAAACATAATTTCACATTTAACTGCAATGAATCAGCTGCCAACCAAGTGCTAAGACCTAAATTTAAAACGTCTACCGGTCCTTTGAATAAACTCACCAAATGACATCAGACTACATAGACTTATGAGTGAGAATTTAAAGTGGTTTTATTGATCTTTGGATAAATGAAACCGAAAAACGAGAGATTCCTGACAAGCTGTCTGTCCTTACTTGTACAATTATTATGTTATTCAGATTCAAAAATTTTATTAAGAAATTATACATTAAAAGTGGCAAATAAATAACAGTTAACTTGCTATATAAATGTCTAGTTTACATTAGTAGTATTGACTCGGACAAATAATCAGAGATACTTTATTGAAATCCAAACTTTCTTACTACTTTACTCACGGTGTTTATGTTGTTCTGATTTCAACCATAACTACGAAAATGTTTTTTGTGATGACATGTGATCGAAGGAACAACTGGTGCAGTGCTATGATGGGCCTGACTTTACATTTAATTATGAAATAGTTTGACTTTGTAGTCAAACGTGCTTCTGTGGATCATATTTGATAGCGTAAGATGTTCACTAAATTTTATATCAGAACGAAGTAGGCCCTTTTTAAAAAATTACGCTTATTCATAAGGTCAATTTGAAAGGAACAATGTAACTCAGACTGGCTCAGATTATCATACAAGTTATGTGTTGTGATAAGTAATACAACAGTGGCAAGGTGATATTCAGAATGGCTACCACAATCTTTGGGATACTTCCAAAGTGGTTACTTTCATGCTTTAAGGACTGCATATTTTTGATATAATCTGACTTTATATGGCACTGGTAAAGCTGAACCGTGTACAGCAAAATATGTTAATAAGGCTTATAGGTTGTGTCCATGCAATTAACCAAGAGAAATAAGGATGACAGTTCTTGCCTTCTCATATGTTTTGATGTTCTGTAATTCAGCAGTAAAATGTCGACATCAAAATGCCTGACAAGATTAAGAAATGCACTACTCTGTCAATAAAACAGGTTAACACCAGTTATATAAAGAAAGATTCTAACCATGTTTAGAACTGGAACGGTATAACCACTGAGGTAATAATACTTTCGCAGAAACTGTGCGAAAAATAATTATTTATTCATTAAACAGACGCTGGGCATATTTAAGTGAATATATATTACCTTGGTCTTCCTCGAAGCATATAATATGCATCAAGATTCTCCATGTACTTGTTGAACGCATCACTTGAATAGAAGAGTGTCATCAGTTTTGCCAAATTTTGAACCCTCTGTTGTTCTTCTGGTGAGCTGAGATTGTTAACTCCTTCATTCGCATTTATGACAGGTGAATTCGATTGTAGCACAATCGCTTTTATCAGTAATATAAGCATTACACTCATATAATTCATTGACTTAACGTTCCATTTTGAAGAGAAATGGCTGCTAACATGACAAAACATAATTCTTTACAAATCAAACTGTAGTAAGCTGGGTTTTAATTGTAGAAATACAGTAATCTTCTTATTCTCCTATTCTCTTATTTTTAGAAATTGATTCTAACTTCTTCTATGGTATCTGATCAAGTATTCAGTATGAAGTTGAGGGATTTTCAATCCTACTCAGTGTTTATTTATACTGAGAGAAAAGCTTTATGATTCGTTGCAATTTTCCCTTTTCTGGATGCATCTTTATTCTCTGATTGGCTCACCAACTCCCCATTTGTTTGATCTAACGCTTGACCTTGAGAACAATTCATTTCCCTCATTTATACAAATTATTTTACACATAAAATGTAATCATTTTGAAATCACGCAAGAATTATGTTAAAGGATATTAATAAGGTGTCTGGTCTAATTTAGTGATTTGTCTATATATTCTTTAATTATATTTCGCTTGATATTATAGTGAATGTGAATTTCACTCGCACCGTTAGAACTTCAAACAGCTAGTTTGCATAACCATAGCATGTCATACTCTAAGTCAAAAAAACTGGAATATGCTTTCAAACTAAAGCGTAGTATACAGAAGTCAAACAATTAAAAAGTCGGCAAATGATGATAGTGGTTACATGGCATATAATGAAAGCTGTATTTGATTGGAGTTTATTTACTTATTTGCAGTTAAAGCCTGCAACATAATAAAGGCGATTTTACATGTGAGTGGTGATATTCATTAATTAACCAAGACTATGAGAATACTGAGCCAAAACTGGATATTGTTCATATACCACCGTTATTGTAGTATTCTAAAAGGCTTGGTGCGCCAACACCCAAGTTCTTATATATATATATATATATATATAATTTTCCTTATTTCAAAATAGTGCTTGTGATACAGCATGAAATTCTCAGCATTTGACACAGCATTGCATCTTATTTAATCGAAAAAACAAGGCGTGGAATAGGTAAACACAACTGACAATGGTAACTTTTCTTGGCATTAATCGTAACAACAAAGTCAAAATGTACAGAAAGTATAAATTTATAATAATAAAAACAATAACTAAAACTGTAAATAATAGTAATAATGTCAACATAAATTACAAATAGAAGATCAAAGAGCCACTTATTTTGTTGATTACATAGTAAGCTCTAAGTTCCACTTTGACACTTTCTCTATCACATAGAACGCGGGCCGAATAGAGCACCATTAGGTTTTTGTACTTGGTTGTGTGGGCATGTAATCTTTTATGATGACCTATAGTTCTGTCTGATGAGCTGCAAGGGAAGAGTTGTGAAATAAAAAGGGTGTGGAGACCCACTTCCATCATGAGTTCCGAGGTCTGTCGACTACAATAATAACAAGCTGACTTGGTGGCACACCATTCTCCCTACTGACTATCTTTAATACTCTTCGCAAAATGTGATACAATCCTTTTTGAGTAGCCTAGGGAAGAACAATAGGTAAGATCAAGAGTTAACTGACTGTATTTAATTGAGTGCACTAATATTATTTTTGAATGTACATTATCTTATATTGATTTCTATTCGAATGTCTAATCAATTTCCTTCATGTATATAAATGAAGTAAAAAGTTGTGTGAGGGATTCGATATGATTATCAGCAATAATCTGTGCTCGAAAAGTCATCAGCTAATATTACTGTACAACAGTGTGTGATTTATCAAAATAAAACGTTGTCTTTAATGGTGTAAAAGTGGAGGTTGAGGGATGCCTGACTGTTTCAACATTTTAATGCAGAAAGTTAGAGGAAACATTTTCCTGGTAATCAACAAGATATGGGATGACCAAAAAAGAACTATTCCAAGGTATCTAATGCTTGAATTAGTTTCTCTTTCAGTATCCTACATTCTACAAGCATCATTTGAATGCACCAGTTTGTGTTGAGGTCAACTGTCTGACATACAGAAGGATGCATTGCCGAGAATTCTAGTATTGATCCTTGTAATAATGGTTTTAAGACATTTAATAAAACCTTTAGAGTTAGTCATAAAGTTGTCTGTGTATATTAACCACAAAATCATGAAATTAAAGATAATAATTTTTCCGTTAATTCATATTTCTAACGTTCGTTTGACACATGTTTAAGTAAGCTGTTTGTCTATAGCGTTTGTGTTGGTACAGACTGGTTCTAAATTGTGTCTCATCTATTTCCCTAGCTCATTTTCTTATTGACATTCGCCGAGAATCTCATCGGAAAATTCCTCCTCTGGAGTCTGTTAAACACTTCTAATTTAGGCTAATTGTTATTTACAAGGTGGCAGACAGCTTCTGTATTATTACTGCGATAGGGCATCAGAGTGTACATATTTTTATGCTGCTTCTGCTTATTTTATTTTCTAGCTTGTATAAAGTGTATTTTTATCCGAAAGATATCGTCAAACTGATCATGCGTTATTTATGTTTCATAACACCCTACACCTGGAACTTAGGTTAACAGTTCTCGAAATAGCTTTTTTTAACGAAACCCAAAGCAAAGCATCTAATTACTGGAGTACACGACCCCACACCTTAATTTTATAATTTACTCATTTCATTGCTTCGGCTTACATATATATATATATTTATAAACTTCTTTATGGTTGTAATTATTCAATTAAAGTTGTTACATATTAATATGTCTAAGGCCTCAAACGTAGTCACGATGTGGATACCAGTGACCGCTTTGCTGAAGATACTGTTAACGGAAAGATAAAAAATTCAGTAAGCCAGCTCACGTCAGTATTTTTTCGTGACAATAATTGCCTTGGCTTTCCAACTTTATTTTTTATATCTGTAACCATATGATCACTTTTTTCTTGTTAAAAAATCTATTTTTATGACAGTTCTAATGATAATCAGCATAAATTAACTTCCAGCTAAAATGCGACTGAGTGAAGTTTGTTAATTTCTGTTTCGTTTACTTCATCCTACTATAAGTGACCAAGAAAGCCCATTTACTGATGAATTTCACTTAACAACTTTGGCAGGACTTTATATATAATTCGCTGTTATGGTCTTAGAAATTTGAAGTGACAATAAAGGAAGAACACAGAATACCTTCATCAGCTATCCACCATATCACGTGATAGTCTGTAAAGTTTTGCATAATAAACTTTTAGCCAATTCAGATGCAGACACTAAGATGTGACGGGAATGGGAATTAATTCGACAATTTTCGCTAGAGGACTAAAAAATTTCCCTACTTCTTTTCGAGTCAATATAAATTGCAAAAAATAAAAAGGACTTCCAACACCATTCATAACAGTTCTCAAAAAGTGTGTTTATGAAAGTATATGAAGACAACGCACCGTAAGACATTTATTCCCAATTCTACACTGATAATTATAGTGAGCAGCTCTGTGAAGTAATTCTATTCTTACACGCATTTACATAAGTCGTCATTAGCTAAAACATATGAAATTTTGACAGCTATTCATGCGTACATTAACTACTATTTTAAACTAATTATTTGTATATCTCGATTATCATTCCTCCTTATGATATTTTAGTTCTGTTAAGCAAATGCTAGTAGTAAAATTGTTGGATTTATGCATTGCTAAATAAGTCGGGAGAGGTATACACCTGAATCATTTTTTGCAAACATGAAATACAAACTCACTAAACTAAGCTACTGAGCTAATGAAGGGATTTAAGAGTTTATAAGCTTTAAGAAAGCCTTTCCTACTAGTGAAGTTTCAATGTATGTTATTTATCCAGCTGCCTACCATCTACTGCCCAAGCACACTAAGTATTCCACATTTCTTTAATCTTCGCCAAGAATTTTTTTCGGTCTATCATAATAAACCTGATTTGTTTTTATTCCGTAAATGGCTAAATATACTTTTGCAACACAATTATGACTAGAATCATAATAGTGTGAAACTGGACAAAACAGTTTCTAAGTTGACCACTAGATATCACAGAGTTTGTTATTCTTTTCATTTAAAAAACAATATACCTAACGGTGAGTGACGCCATCCAGCCTACAAAAATAAACATCAAGGCTTACAATAAATTGGATATTTATTGTCGCTACGCTACGCCGGAATTAGACACACGTCGACACCTGTCGTAAATTACCAAATAATTAACTTACAAAGAAGTAAGCCTTACAATTAATAGTGTTCTCTGAGCTATGAAGTTTCACTTTATGCTAAATATTGCGCTGAAGATATTGTTCAGAAGGACGACTAAAGCTCTGCAACTAAACCAACCAGCTCAGAGAACACTATTAATTGCAAATCAACCACCTGAGCTACAAATCTTCTCTATTCTTTTGAAGTAAGACTTAGTCGTTTCTGGAGGCTCATTTTTGAAGAAGACATATGACTTTACTTTTGGAAGAAGAAAGTAATTATTATTCCTATTCAGTGAGGTTGATGTCTCGCGTTTGTGAGAAGACATCCTTATATTTTACGAGTGAAAATCATAAAAGAGGATTAACATTGGTACAAAACGCCACAGAATGTTCTGAAACTTTCAGATATACAGCCGTTATGAAAAACCATTAAAAGTCACTCAACTATAAGCGGTAATGTATTGGAATACAAACTTCTTAAATTAATTCCCCCTCACAAGGAAACAAAGCAATATGTGTGAAAGGAGTGACAACTACAACCTAAAAAGTATTACGCTTTCCGTCTGCTTCATATTGGTTAAATGTGGAGGACGATTTTGGGATAAGAAGAGAGCAAACAGGATGAACCAGCTCTCAGAATTATCAGCATCACTGCTACTAATGGTTTAGTCATGAACATATACATGCTTACAACCGCTAAAATCAAAGTCATAAGATAATCCAGCCTTCTCACAAAAGAATACAACAGTCAGTCTACAAACAGTGAACGTATGAATAAGCAACCTTACGATATAACAATTGAAACACAAGGATCACAAGCCATCTGAGCTTTCATTTCAGTTTCAGTCTCCACTCAGCCATCTTAAAATGCGCTGGCCCCTGAGGTTGAATCTGATAAATACTCTTAATAAGTCTGGACGGTCAAGCTGTCCGAAAATGAC